AGGGCATAAACTCCTAAGGACAGAAAGAGTGGGAAATGATAGAATAGTACATGAGAGGTATTAAAACTTTGGAATCTGGAAAGCAAACAGAGGAATGGAAAGTTGTAACAGACAAGGCATGCTAAAACTTAAATGCTGCTCACATCAGGATGCACACACCAGCAAGCGGGTCAGAACTTCAGAACCTGGGAAGGCCCAGAAATTAGAGGCTCTATATACCTCTGACAGTAGAGGTAAGGTGGTTTTCAAGGGAATTGAAAGAAAAAAAAAAAAAAAAAGAGGGTGGTTGTACATCTTTGAAATGATTCCTCACAGCTTCCCCCATCTCTGGCCTAAGCAGCCAAGTGACTCTGCCTTTCCCACTCTGGCAGAAGACTGGGACTTTATGTGAACCCTAGACATTCTGGTCTTTAGTACAGTCCCAGGCACAGCTAGAAATGGGTGCCTGGCAGGTAGCGATGCTGAATAGACAACAGCCATTTGGTGCATTCTGATTAAGGGCACAATGCCACCCAATTTAAAAAAAAAAAAAAAAAAAAAAAAGGAGTTTCTATTAAAGTGTATTTTAAAATTAAGATAATCTTTAGAGATAATTTTTGGTCATTTGTATTTTGAATGTCAGTTTCATTTTCCATTAATATTCTAATGCCATTCCTAGTTGTCTGCATTTGGAAATGACTGAAGTCAGTGAGTGATATGACAGACATCCAGCCGGTGAGCAGAGTGTGATGGCCGCATTAGTTAACCTTCGAATCATTATTAAGTGATTCAATCTAATGAACCAAGTAATCTCTTTCTGTATAAAAGTCTATTAAACAAATTGCAGGGTCCTGGGAGCAACTCACCAGGCAAGGAAAATCTCACACATGTGTGAACATTTTTCTTCAAATAATGAAAAACAATTAGAATAAATGTAGCATCGGTTGACATTGAATTTTTTTAAGTCACATTTCTTGACAAAAGCGGCGCCAACTTGAAAACAAAACAAGACTAAAACAGCCACCACTGGGGTGATGAGACAGGCCACCTTTATTGGACCATGTATGATTTGAAAAATCCCAAATCATTTGGTATTTTTTTAAATAATAAAAAATAAAATTGCAAAATGTTAAGCAGGTTCCACTCTATCCTCTGCAGTCGGCCTCTGAGAAACAGTCGTTGTTTGAGACCCACAGCAGCCATCACCAGTTCTGAGCCTGTCCTGAAGAGGGAGCTGTGCCTAGGACAAAGGACTGGAATGGAAAGCTGGAATGGAAGCCCCAGGAGGGTAGAGGCATTTTTGTTTTTATTTTGGGCATTGACTTATTTCCGGCCCCTAGAACGTGGCTGAAACACAGTAGGTGCTCAATTAATATTGTCAAATAAAAGACTGTCCTGAAACGTCCTTTTGGTTGCTCCAACATTCCACATGTGGCACGTATCAGTGGGGACACTGGCAAGGTTGGACGGTATTCCCACTTCAAATCAAGTCCTCCTTTCTCCAGATTTCTCCAGATTATAATCTGGAATATACCCTTTAGCACAAGTATGAAAAAGGGCAGAAGCCTCACTTCTCTAGACCAGGGGCACAGCCTCAGTCTATCAGGATGTTCCTAGAATAGACAGGGAAGTGTTGTGTGCCAGGCATCACCTGTGACCATTCGCAACCCACCCAATCACTAGACAGGGCACCATGACTTTCGGGCTCAGACCGGGGTCATTTTTATGTTCTAACATAGAAATAAACCTTAGTCCTTCTCACTGCAAATGTAGAGAAGAGTAGCCTTATTTTACATTCTGCAAATCTTTTCAATGTCTGGATTAAGGAAGACAGCTATACTCTCCTATCTGTTTCTGTACTCGGTTACATATCGTGTAGGCTTTCGAAAACTCTACTATATACTTGCAAGCAAGTAATGTTTTAGTACTGTCATGAACATAGTTTTGACTCTTGAAAGAGTCTCAGAGGCCCCTGACCCACTCTTAAAGACACTGTTGTAAAAGGTATGTATACTAACAGTCATAACTTTGATCAACATGTAGAAGGGATTCTCAAACAGGAAGTGGAGTTAAAAAAGATAGAGAGGATGGGACACCTGGGTGGCTCAGTCCTTTAAAGCAGCCAACTCTTGGTTTCAGTTCAGGTCATGATCTTACAGTTCATGACGCTGAGCCTTGCAACGGGTTCTGAGCTGACAGCACAGAGCCTGCTTGGGATTCTCTCTCTCCCTCTCTCTGTCCCTCCCTCCCCTGCTTGTGCACTCTCTCTCTCAAAATAAATAAAATAAACATTTAAAAAAAGGAGGCAGGAAACATCACTGACTACCTGTGATCACAGTTTACAAGAAAGCAAAAACATTTTATTAGTGTTGTTATCTTAAATGTTGCTTACTCTGTACTTTACCGTATTTCAACAGGAATGAATTGCTATGTGAGGAAAAGAAAAGCCAATGTTTCTCCCTGACAAGACAGACCTCAGAACAAAACCCACGTTTTCCAACTCCTTCCAGTTCCTACACAAATATGGATTGTTAATGTATACTCACTTTTTAGACCATCACTTCTAAGTGACATTCTAATGATAAGACACATAAGTCACCTTTCTCCTGCCTTGCCTTTCCTTGCACAACTTTCTGCTGTCATTCAAATATTATTTAACAGAACAAAAGAACAATTTCCAATCACTAATCAGTTCTCAAATGCTGCATGGTTCAAGCTTTCTGAGTGCCCGTTTCTACAAATAGCAGCTAAATGGCAATCTACAAAAGCAACTCACTCTAATCCCTTTCTTAAACATGTATATAGCGGTCCTTAGCAGGTGCAAGTGATTTTCTATCTACGACATGATTCATAAAAAAGCAAAAGAGCTGTATTCATTTAACTATGGTCCAAGACAAATAATTATTTACAGATGATCATCTCACACCATCCTTCCTCCCAAACTGAAGAAGATACATGATTTCAAATAGTCCTTCCCACAGTCATGCAAATACAGATTAGTTATGGTGACTTTTTCAGGAAATATTTGGCTCTGTTGTCTTATTTAAACTTACACCCACCTTAACAAGCCTTTTAAGAGTTTATTAAGTTAGCCAGCAGTTACAAGCTCTGGAACAGAGGATCTTGGTTTGAATCTGAAAGATGTCATTTGCAATGTGACTTTGGACAAATTACTTAATCTGTGCCTCAGTTCCTTCAACTTTTAAAATAAAGATAATTGGGGCACCTGGATGGCTCAGTCGGCTAAGCGTCCGACTTCAGCTCAGGTCATGATCACACAGTTCGTGGGTTCGAGCCCCACATCAGGCTCTTTGCTGACAGCTAGCTCAGAGCCTGGAGTCTGCTTCTATGTTTCCCTCTCTCTCTACCCTCCCCTGCTCATGCTGCCTCTCTCTCTCTCTCTCTCAGAAATAAATAAAACATTTAAAAAATAAAAGAAAGATAATAGCAGTATCTGCCTCATAAGTAAATGATGGGATTAAATGAGATAATGAAGAAGTGGGTAAACACTTAAAACAGTGCCTGACACAAAAAAAGTACTTAGTAAATGCTAACTTCTGTTTTTATATATTAGTCATCTGAAATAGTCACAGCAGACAGAATAGTCCATAAAAATCTAATAGAGCCCCAGAATAACACTGGAGGGAAATTTTAAGGAGAGATGACTTAGTGTCCTTCTTACTTAACAATAGGTAAGTGTCTGCACTACCTAAGAAAGTGCTGACAAGCCATGGAAAAGATATCAAAGACATTTTCATAATTATTATGATTCTGTGAAACAAGAAAAAAAAACTCAAAAAGACTTGTCCCTCAAAATAGATTGAAGGAGTCTTAACAGAAAATTTGACATACATACCTAGAAACAAGAGGATCAAGCCTTCTGCTGTAACACAACAGGGCAAGACAAAACTATCAGAGCCAGAAGAGGCTTTTTATGCATGTATTCCTGTAAGCACCATATACACCATGAGCCAGGCAGTAAGAGCTGAAGGTGTCTAACTCTATTCTCACACACAGTCTAGCAGCATACTTGGAGAGAACTGAAGCTTGAAACCAAAAAGAACACTTTCATGAAAATTTTTAGAAATCCTTGCCACCAGGGTTAACTAACAAGATGGCTTAACTCCTGCAGTATATCAGAAAAAGATTCATCTGTGGAGGGCTGGTACATAAAAAGGCTAACTGGGATACATATGAGAATTATAGCTAACTCTTACTGAATATTTACTATGTTTCAGGCATTATTCCAAGTTTTTTAGATGTATTAACTAATTAATCCTCAACATCATGATTAAATAGGAATTTTACTATCCCCACTTACACCAAGGAATTGAGCCACAGAGAAATTAAGCTGCCCAAATGTCAAGTTAATGATGGCTAGTTAAAATCAGTTTGGCTTCTAAACCCAAGTTTTCATTAGGCAAAGTAGAAGGCTACACAAATACGTAGCATACACTTATATACCCTGGGGGACGGGGTGCTAAGGTTTAGGGAGACGATTTTGGTTATCTATAATGTTTGATTATTGACGATAAGAATGTATGGACTTGAATGATTACAAAAATTTCTATCTCATAAATTAGTCACACGCTTTATTGGAATTTCTGTGGAATTCCATTGACATAATCTGCACGTGCCTAAACGAACAGGATCGCCACAGTGAGCCTAACATCACAGTGGCTGGCAGTATTTGGAAAATGAGAAGGGGTGGCTAATACCCTTGACAGGTCGTGACAGATGTGGTCTCTATCCAACCACCAGTAAGCTTCAAGACCTATCCTAAATTTGTTTTTTAGTATGGTTGCTGATCCATAAAGGTCCTACCTTTATCATCAAATATTGTGTCTCCTCGTAGATTAAGTTAGCTCATAGTACTGAAAAATTCACAACAGTGAGAAGGAAAAAGGTGGTAAAAGTTCAGAATGGGGTTAAGACAACTATTACTCACCCTAATGGTATACCAACCTTGACCACTTACTACAGATTGGCCATACGTAACACTATTATAGTTTTTTTCTTACCCACTAAACAAGTTTTTTCCATCTTCTTCCATATTATTCCACAGCCATTGATTAGGTTTCCTCTTCTCTATTACCTGTGGGGGAAACAACCCATAAGGCTGGGCTAATATATAGCAAGAGAAAAGCAATTTCTTGAATTTATAAATTTTAAAAAAAGGATCAGTACCTAGGATCTGTGACTACATGGAGTTTAGGCTTAAAAGCTCTATGAAATAGCTATCAATCTGAGGAGTAATGACCTCAATAATTATGATGGTGAATGGGGGAGGAGAAGGGGAAAAACAGGGAAGAGGGAGGGAGGCAAACCATGAGAGTCTCTTGAATACTGAGAACAAACTGAGGGCTGATGGTGGGGGAGAGAGGAAGGGGAGTGATGGGCATGGAGGAGGGCACCTGTTGGGATGAGCACTGGGTGTTATATGGAAACCAACTTGACAATAAACTATGAAAGAAAAAAATAATTATGATGGTGATCTTGAGCTTAATTCTGAAAAAGATTAATAAGGCTCCAAATGTTCAAATATTTTCCATCTAGATTCCACTTAGATCCTTTAAACTACTGCAATATACTTTTTTTTAATGTTTGTTTATTTCCGACAGAGAGACAGACAGAACACGAGTGGGGGAGGGGTAGAGAGAGAGGGAGACACAAAATCTGAAGCAGGCTCCAGGCTCTGAGCTGTCAGCACAGAGTCCAATGTGGAGCTCGAACTCACAAACTGTGAGTTCATGACCTGAGCCGAAGTTGGACACTTAAACGACTGAGCCACCCGGGCTCCCCCTAAACTACTGCAATATACTTTTGAGTGGGAAGAGGAGAATTACAGATACATAAAACAAATCACTACAGTAGGAACAAACCAACGGATGACATCCTTTTAAATGGTCATTAAAAATAAAGTCCCTAACAAGCAAATTTCAAGTTTACCACCTAGTGAGACTTGCTGAATTCTCAGGTTCTCTGGCATTATACAAGGCAAGAGAACAGGATGCAGAGTAACAGAGGCCAGCTATCAACACAGTGCTCACTTACTAGTATAAGACTTTATGCAAGTTTCTTAATTTGTCTGAGCCTATCTTCTTATATACTTCATAGCACTAGTTTAAGGACTAAATGAGAATGTAGGTAAAATGCTAGGTCACTACCTGGCACACAGCTGATGATCAACAAAGGTTTAGCTCTCTTCTTTTATTTTTCTACCTTTAGTTTACAGCAATTTTCAGAACTTAAGAAGGAGAAAATCCATTCTTGAAAACCTTACCTTATTTTTATTCCATCAAATAATAACAATAACAACGATGATGATTATGAGGAGGAGGAGGATAGATACCCCCGGCACGTATATAGGCTTTAATATGTGCCAGCCACTCATCTACACACTCTCGCATACATTAACTCATTCACTTCTCACAACAACTATGAGTTAAATATTATCTTTATTCCCATTTGACAGACACAAACTGAGGCACAAATATGTTCCACAGTTACTAAGGGACAGAGCTAGGATTCAAAACCAGGCTTCTGCTCCTAAGTAGTACTAGCGCTAAGGACTAACATTGAAATGAGAGCAGCAATGCCGGTCCTTGAAGAGCTCTCTAATATTAATGCAGTCAGACAGGTAATGTTCAGATGGTGTACCAAGTAGAACAGATTCATATTCTAGGTAATTAAAGTTCTCTAAATACATAGATTAAATATAATTAAGATTCAATATATATACACTGTAAGCTAAATATAGTTTATATATTTTAAAATACAGTTTGTACATTATATATCTCAAAATATCTTTAATATGTATTTTATAATGTATTTTATAAAGTTTAGAAAGTTCATCAAGAGAATATTAATACGTTTAAATCAGAAAACAATCTAATCAAGATTATGCCCTTCTTGGCAAGGTCAGTTGTGTGGCACATTCCAAAATACAAACATTTATTATCCTAGTTATACACTTATTATCCTAGTTATGCCTTGTCTACAACTGTCTTTCCCTGTGAACTCCTGCAGGACAATGACTGTACCTTGTCTTACTTATTGTGAACATCAGTAATGTCTAAAACTGTGCCTAGTCTTTACGAGATGTTCAATAAATACTGATGAAAGAACAAACATGCTGGATAGGAAACAAAGAAAATTTTCAAATCCATCTGTCATTTCTATTCACATTCGAAGGCACCAATGCTCTAGGCTTACTTCCAACCACCCATCCACTCTATGATTTTAGTACCAGCAAGGCCTTGCAGGATCTGAGTGTTTTCCTTGATCTGGTCCCATTTTTGGCCTATTCCAATCAATAAGCTCATATAGCAAAATGTCTTATTACAAAAAGTCTCAAGTATACAACTAATCAGAAGACTCATGCATGAATAGCACTTTATGGTTTTCCAGGTGGTTCCAAACATCCCTCTCAGGTGCCTGAAAACAACACTGAGAGCAGACAAGGCAGGTGTGATAAGCCAGGAAGCTACATCTAATGTTGACTGCTTTGAAGTGGAAACATTTTCATTGTCACAGCTGAAGAACCAACCAACGGCGTAGAACCTGAGTTAGATGATTTCTCTGTAGTTGGGTAGAAAGTCCAAAGTAAAAAATAGGCCAAAAGCCTTAGAAGATACAAAGGCAGACTAAACTCTGATAATAAGGAACAATTTTACATGCATCCACTGCTAAATAGCAAAACTTCATGTAAAATTTTAAGACCACAATTAAATGTCTCTTGGATGCCAAATTAGGAAGTCCAGGTTCGACTGGCAGGAAGAAAGAGAGCTAGGGTGGATATCAGCAAGCCTGGATTTCAGTCCACGCTCTTGTTACTAAAGTTTTGTGATATCCAGGTCCACTCGAATTTGAAATTCCACAATTTGTACATATTACCCAGAGTAAATAATCATGTAAAAAGAAACATTTAACACTACATTTCAGAGCACAGTATGCATAGCATGAACAAAAGACTCAAGATCTGCTGACTTTACTATTCTAAGTTATTAGTTGCTATGGGTTTCATCCATTAATGGTTCTGACTGATGGTTTATGTTCAAATTTAGGATCTCTGCACAGAAACTGCAAAACAGATTTGTGATTTTCTGTGAAATACAAAGGGTGCTAGGACTGATCTTACACACTCTGACCATGGTTAAAAATAATCTAGCCACCTGGGTGGCTCAGTCAGTTAAGCACTGGACTCTCGATTTTGGCTCAGGTCATGATCTCACAGTTCATCAGTTCAAGTCCCGCGTTGGGATTCTCCCTTTCCTTCTGCTCCTCCTCAACTCATACGCACACGCTCTTTCTCTCAAAATAAATAAACAGGCTTAAAAAAAAAAAGAATAATCTAGGTGGTAAAATCCAAGTTCACTTGCCAAATGAATTGATTTCTTATAACCTGTTTATTTAAATGCTTTTTCGGGACACCTAGGTGGTTCAGTCCACCTCCTGATCTTGGCTCAGGTCATAATCTCACGATCGTGATATCAAGCCTGGCTTGGGATTCTCTCTCTCTCTCTCTCTCTCTCTCTCTCTCAAAATAAATAAAGAGAAAATGCTTTTTCACCATTAAACAGAAATGTGGTCCATGAGCTTATAAAGCTATGTTATACAGTGTACATGGAATATCAACCTAGACTATGAACTTTCTGAGAACAGATTGTTTCTCATTCATACTAGTGTCCTATTGACTTAATATATACTGTTAGTTGCATAATTTGCTGAGAGAGGACCTCCTCTTTTAAACTGACCTTGATCTCAAATTTTACTTCTTAGGCAATATGCTTTCTAACATTTACAAACTATTTTCAACTAAAAACTTCACATGACATTTACCACTGTAAGCTGTAACTTTTTTCATCTCTACATGCGCACGTTTGTTTTAAAATGAAACACTGCACATTGTTTCAGCCTTCTGAAATAAAAACATATTGGGACCATTACAATGATGTATAAGAGAGCCAGAGTGTCAGGCTGAAAGATGGTCAAGCAACACATTAGAAATTTTTTTCCCCTAATTTCTGTGTGGTGGTTAGAATCAAAAAAGGTTTAGAAATCCACCTGTCTTGATTGACTTCCGTATCTATTAAAATACTAGATGGGGCTGTTTATTCATAAGGGGCATAAGAACACAGGAGTGCAAGAGCCTTAGCTTATCCACTTATTAGCAGTGTGACCCTGGACAATTCACTAATGTCTTGTACATGGATGTAATGTCAGCTCTGCTCCCTTCCAAGGGTGCTGCACAAAACAGATAAGGAAATGTGTGTGGAAGTGCACTGTAAACTGACAAGAGCTGCACATGGGTTAGCTCTTCTTTCCTTTGCTACCAAAAATAGCAGAGGCTTTAGATCATTATTGTGGTGGGAAGAGACAGTGATATTTGAACATTTCAGGTGTTTGGGGAAACATGCTAGGATAAAAGAACCCGATCTTTCGTGTGGAGCACAAGAATCCTAACATGTATTTTTGGTATCTGTGTCTTTATTTTAATTAAATAACATCCTGGTCTTAACAGCTTATAGGGATTAAAGGGCATAAGCTCTTAGCCATATTGAGAATTTCTTCTCACCAAAATATAAAATGACTTAAAAGCAATAGCATACAGGGGCGCCTGGGTGGCTTAGTCGGTTTAGTGTCCGACTTTTGCTTAGGTCATGATTTCGCGGTTCGTGGGTTCGAGCCCCGTGTCGGGCTCTGTGCTGACTGCCAGCTCAGAGCCTGGAGCCTGTTTCAGTCTGTGACTCCCTCTCTCTGACCCTCCCCTGCTCACGCTATCTCTCTCTCTCCTAGAAATAAATAAAAAAAAAAATTTAAAAAAAAAAAAAAAGCAATAGCATACAATACTTGCATTCTCCCCAATCATCCAAGATAAATGTATGCAAACAAAAGCAGTACCAAATCCCATTTAGTGTGCAAGCAGCAGCGACAGCCACAAAAACGGCCTTCCATAGACAACGGAATTGCTATTTCGTCACTGTGCTTAAATCTAATGCTGTGTTTATACTCCCCACATATAATAAATATTATTAATTGGTAGAGCTCAGTCTGCCAGCATACATTCAAACCATTTTAAAAACATTAGTTGTT